TCTCATCCACTTGCGTGTCAATTATCAATCTTTGCTTCCGTTTCAACTCATTTTCTTTTGCTATCTGTTGTTTCCTGAAATAATTGGTTTCGGTTATACTTCTTTCATCTCCTGTTATGTTTTGTTATATCATTAATCCCCAAAGGCCAGAGGCGCCGACACACAAAATAATGGATGGGGGAGAGACACTCCTCCACCCCCTTATAATTTTATATTCGTCTGGAGGCGCTCAAGGAGTAGAAGTCCGGATTAAGTGCGCAAAAAAAAAGCCGTAGTAGTAGTAGTAGTAGTAGTAGTAGTAGTAGTAGTAGTAGTAGTAGTAGTAGTAGTAGTAGTAGTAGTAGTAGTAGTAGTAGTAGTAGTAGTAGTAGTAGTAGTAGTAGTAGTAGTAGTAGTAGTAGTAGTAGTAGTAGTAGTAGTAGTAGTAGCAGCAGCAGCAGAAGTAGTAGTAGAAGTAGCAGCAGACATAGTAGTGGCAGCAGCAGCAGTAGTAGTAGTAGTATTAGTAGTAGTAGCAGCATCAGCAGAAGTAGTAGTAGAAGTAGCAGCAGAAGTAGTAGTTGCAGCAGCAATAGTAGTAGTAGCAGCAGCAGCAGAAGTAGTAGAAGGCTGTAATATTGCGCGTTGCTGTTCCCCGACGAGACACAGAAAATCTGGCTGTTTCCAGTTATAATCAAAGATAACAGAAAGTGAAAGATGATGACAGAAAGTGCTAGCAACACTCCAGAACAGGGTGGAGATAGTGAGCAAAGAGATCACGGTGATAAGCGGGTAGAACAAAGGCTTTGTTCTATCTTTCCTTTGACTGGCACTTTATTTCCATGACGTGCGATCAACGGAAATCCGCGCCAAAGCTTTATTATTACAAGTGTGTGAAAGATATGTGCGTGTGTGTTTTCAATGTAATTTACCCCGTGTGGGTTCCGGAGGCGACTCCCCCCTCTCCCCCCCCCCCCCATTTAAGATGTCGTTAAAGTCTTGACTAATTAGGGGTGTGTCCTTCGAAATTATTTACATATGCATGAGAGGCGAAGAACCAACAGTCTGCATACAAATACGCCAGATCTGGAAAAACCGATGCGCACGCAAAACATAAGATCTTAAACAAGATTGTAAGTCCAGAAATTGACACACACAAAAACGTAATTTTCTACAGCCAGTGAACGCGAGTCGAATACTACGATTGTAATTTATACTCAAACTGGTGCGCTCTGATTCATTCGCTTTAATTGAAATCATCAATATTTGATATGTTGACTCTCCATACATTACTAAACAACTATTCGTGAGCATAAAGTTAACAGAGATTAAATTAAACACAATGGAATACGAACAAGCTTCACACATTCTCAAACATACCAACTGCTGACACGTGCGGTCATAGTAGCAACCAACCTGGCCGCATCGTGATACCAGCTAAGTGATTTTTTGTATCTATGTAGTATTGTTTATTTTGTGTGTGCTGATAAAGGCTCAATAGCCGCAACGTTCACGTTTTGTTTGTATTTGTTATTTTGTGAAGCTTGCTAATATACTTTTCGTTCGGGTCTATATCTTTTCTTGATATCTAAATGTAAGGGAAAACATCTAAATCTGGATGTAAAACATCCAAAGTGGCAACACTGATCCGGAAGTCGATCCGCCATTGTTGTCTGCCGCCGAAACACGAGAGGATCTGTGCAGTGAAGGGCTTTTCCCAGCCCTAAATGGCTTTAAATTCACTTGCGCATAACGCACTACTTTCAACAACACATTTACAACTGTTACTTGCCTTTACGTAGATCATCATTCACTGCTTACAGGTTCGGTGTCTCAACGACAATCGAAGAAAAGTATTTTTTGTACAATTGTGATCCTAAAAACTGGGTGCGGCCTATACACGCGTAAATACGGTATGCTTCGGGGTAACAGTGTGGCTACAAAAGAAGAATAAATCTGTATATAAACTATAAAACTGTGTCTTCGCACAGACTCCGCATACGTAAAACAGTTGCACACAACGAGACAGGAACCAGTTTGACCCATTCTCAAATCATCACGATTTGATTTACTGAATCCCCCATATATTACCAAACCCTGTTCACATATTACTGAGACAGTTATACACAATAATGAATCATGAAACCTGGAATCCCCCACATATTACTAAACCCTGTTCACATATTACTGAGACAGTTATACACAATGAATCATGAAACCTGGAATCCCCCATATATTACTAAACCCTGTTCACATATTACTGAGACAGTTATACACAATGAATCATGAAACCTGGAATCCCCCATATATTACTAAACCCTGTTCACATATTACTGAGACAGTTATACACAATGAATCATGAAACCTGGAATCCCCCATATATTACTAAACCCTGTTCACATATTACTGAGACAGTTATATACAATGAATCATGAAACCTGGTTTTCCCAATTTTAAAAAATACAAATCTTCCAGATTTTATATAGTAAATCTCATACATTATCAAACAGTTTTATATGTACAGACAGAACCATCTGAGCTATTGTGGTGGCGCAGACAGATAAACTAATATGTAATCCCTCAGGGATAAGATTGTTACAGATCTGTTAAACAGAGTTTTCTGCAGTATCGGGACAAAGCAACGCTCCCGTTTGCTCAAGGCTGAAGCACTCTGCAAGTATAATGTCAGAACACAACGGTATCCGGGCGCTTTCTTTTAATATACCTACACATGGGTATGGCTATATATCTGAAATGGTAAGTTACAATAATATGATTCTCCCACTGTGGGTTCTAGAGGGGGGGGGAGCATTTGGGAGAGGGGAGTGGGGGGGGGGAGAGTAGAGACACTATCCTTAACAAGCATGTCGCAAAAGGCAAACAATTTATTTTTAAAAAACTACGATTGGGGGTGTTACGCCGACAGGTGCGGGGTATCGCAGCCTAGCTGTAAAACACGGCA